TGGTCTGGCCCCTGCACCCCAAGACCCCCTAAACACCGGTTGTGACAACCCTCCCCCACCATCTGCTGCAGCATATAGGTGAGGCCCTGAGTCACCAGGTGTGGTGTGAGCAGCAGATGTGCTCAGGGCTGGTGGCAAGCACCATGGAGGGGCTCTGGGCCCCTGAACAACCTGAGAAGACAGTGGAAATATTCCTTCTATATGCTTGGCATTTCCTTTTGAAGCATTCTACATATCTGGGACACACCCTCTTTCTCTGAATGCTCTTAGCAGAATTCTTGTCCTCTGAGAATAAACTGAGAGTATTTTTTTTTCCCACAAGCGTTCACAAAATTCCTGCTATATCTTCTTCAACAAAATCTGTGACCTCCTTCTAAATATTCTTCCTGTCGAAGAATGTCTCGAGATAGACTTGTTTCTATCTCAAATACGAGGGCATATCCTGGAATTGATTTCAACCATAGATAATGCCAGAAATGTATCAATTGCCCACTGTTAATGGATATGCATCAACAAACCGGAAAAAAAAAAGAAAGAAAACCTGGCAATGTCTCCTCCTTTAAAAATTGATGCCAAAATGATTAGCGCCAGCCTGGCTTCCCTCAGACGATCATACTGTGAAAACTGCTTGGCTAGATCCTCAAAAAATATGTCTTAAAGATGTCTGTACAGACTTGACAGCAGAATAGTTACAGGAAACCAGGTGAGGGAGAGAGACTTCTCCAACAATTTAGGATAAGGCTGGTGACCCAGACACATAACCACAGCCTGTTTCCAGCAGCACTGCACGCAAATGTGACAACCCAGAGATTCTTCCAAAATATCCCACCACTATTTTAAGATTGCATGTGAAACGCCAACTACACTATTCTCATAGTTATTTCCTCTGGTGCTAAAATGACACACATATCAATGTATGTCAAGAACTTTTAGCAGAACATTCTAGCACCACTTGTACTTCCTTGGAGTGTAGTATCACACGTGTATCACTGGCTGCAACAGTAAATGAGGGGAACAACTTTTGGCAACAATAATAACACTTTTCCACGGTGTACTATCCTTAAGATTTAAGAACCTTCCAACTAATTTAAAAGAAAGAAGAGGGGGCTTGCATACATTGAATATTACATGCTCTTTACATATTCTAAAAATAGGAAACAAAAATGGTGATGGAATCTCTGTATCAGCTTTTGCACCATGAACACGATGCCTGTTATCTCTGGGCCTTCAGTAATAACTCTGAGGCAGGCTACTACTATTTACCTCTTATTAATGGTCTCAATGCGCATGACTCTCTCAGGAGAAATGAAAAAACTCACCCGCATTCATATACTACTGGTGCCAGAGCTGGGAGCTGAGCTCAGATCATTTCCTGTCTCTAGAAACAGAACCTCACTGTAACCCCCGGTTTACACAGCAGCGAGTGGCAGGAATACTCAGACCTACAGCAGCCCGTGATATCTATGATTCTTGCTTCTCCTGAGCAATGAGGAGAGATACTCTTCTCAGTCGTAAAGCGCATTCAACTCTGAAAGCTTCTCAATGTCTTGGGTAATTCCCAATAGATTTGCTAACAAAGAAATCTACATCTGTGAGATCTATCGAAATCATTGATGAAACAGCCAAACAGGGTGATGGCTACAACACCTGTCCTACTGAAGAGGAAAGGCTACCAGATGAGTAGAAAAAACGAGAAAGGCAAGCGATGGGACACCGAGGAAAGCAAGTGGATGGCACCTCCTCTTTGTGAAGCGTTGTTAGACTTTGTTGAACATGCTTATCCTTTTTATTTTTTTGGCATAACAACTATAGGATGTGGGTTGTATTATCATATCAAATAATTAGAGTTAAGGAAACAGAAGTCAAGTTTCCATGGCTGTTTGTGCTAGAGCCGCACTCTGAGGTCCCTGTGTCCTGGCGCCATAGACATGAAGTCAAGAGGGAACCCATCTGTTTGGGGATTGACTTAGGGAAAGAGCTTGCTTCTCTCAAATATGGCACAGAAACCATTGTTAAGCCTGGGATTCTGGGTTCCAGGCGGCGAGACAGACAGAAACATGAACTCAATAATGCAAAAGCGGCAGGAGTTCTATTCCAGTATACTGGGATCAACTATCTCATCCGATGACTTTAGGCAGCAAACAGTTTATATAGGGTTTGATGACATAAGCAGTACATGCCTTACTGTTTCAGAAAGAAATCTTACTCAGTTACCAAACAAAGGTGTTTTGGCAAGTGCCTAGGGTAATGGTGGTCAGGCAATAGTTAAACAATAGTTTTCATTAGCAGTTTATGGTTACATATACTACTCATTCTTTTAGGGTTAACAAAAGACAAATTCTGGGGCATTTTGACTGGGGCATAATGATTGATTAAGCCCACTTGTTGGGCCCAGGAACTTTCCAGGTGGGTTCAGCTTGGCTAGTTATACACTGTTTCTTGATGGGAAACTGAAATTGTTTTAGTTCTGTAAGGGAACCCGAGGCCAGCTGATTTTGCTGATTTCTGCCTGCCTGTCATAGTGTCAGTTTCACCCTTATACTATGATGCCATGTTCTTTTTCTTTTTTCTTTTTGGGCCACACCTGGCGATGCACAGGAGTTCCTTCTGGCCTTACACTCAGGAATTACTCCTGGTGGTACTCAGGGAGACCCCATGGGATGCTGGGACTCGAACCCAGGTCGGCCGCGTGCAAGGCAAACACCCTCCCCGCTGTGATATTGCTCCAGCGCCCATGTTCTCTGAGTTTTGTGTAACAAACTGGACTCACTTTTGAGGACTTTCCACAAGCACTTTCCTGTGTCTTCCAGCAACAAACACAATTGTAGAACTCATCAGATGAGTTCTGTAACTCATTAAATGATTAAAAAAAAAGACAGCTCTTCAGTAAAGACATCCCAAACAATGTGTTGAGTATAAACCAAACTCAGGTGTAATAAGCACAGAGTTTGCACTTGTTAACTCTCCCTTTTCCATTAGAGCCTGTGGTTTACAAAGTTGTTCATAAGAGCTGGAGATATTAGCTGTCAAATCCATCCCTGAAATGAATTAAAGATCTCCCACAAAAAACACAAATATCTAAGGACAAAAATAACCAAAACTGATGCCAGACACAGTAACAACAAAGTCTCCAATGGAGACGTTACTGGGCCCGCTTGAGCAAATCGACACAGAAAAGTGAAGAAAACCTCATTTTCATTATTAAGTTTCCTTGAACCCTTTTGAAAGCCTTAATTCATCCGATGGATATTTTTCTTAGACTGAACAAGGACCTGATGAGCCAGATGAAGGTGACCAGCAGGCAGCCTAGACTCCAGGGAGAGCTTTGTCTTTCCAAATCATCAGCTCAAAAAAATAGTTTCTGACTCTGATCTCAGACAAAATCATGTTACTTTAATTAATAAGCAAATTACCACTCTCTGACATCCTTTACCGTTATTTAATGAGCATTTACTTTGTGAAACTTAGGAAGTCACTGAATTTACTTGACTTGAAAATGCAATCAGAATTCTTAACAAATAGGTAGACAGAGATATATTAGTACTAATCAGAAACATTATTTCGATCTTAATTAATCACCCTGTTTATTTGGATAAACTAGAGATGACAAGAAAACATCTGCAGGGTAAAGATAATGTTTTAAGTTATGAAAGCAGCTTCTTTGATACTGTTTAGCACCGAAAGGAAAATAAAAAAATACATAATTTGATTTTAAAAACGCTCAGAAAAAAATTACCTTTTCATATAAGATACAACAAACTTAATGGGGGTGGGGGGGTGGGGGAGTGGCCAACACCCAGCGTTGCTCGGGACTGACTCCCGGTTCTGTGCTCGGGCTCACTCCTGGCAGGATTCAAGGGACCTTGTGGGGTGCCAGGGATTGGGCTTGAGTCTGCCACATGCAAGGCAAGTGCTCTACCTGCTGTCCTATCGCTCTGGCCCTGAGATACAACAGACTTTAATTGAAAACTGATGAGCTGAAAAGTTGATGATAATTATTTTAAAGTGGAGATGTTTTAAATAAATTAAAGGATTTTTGTTATTGATTTCCCTCAGAGGATAATGATTTACAACAACAGATGGTAAAGTAGAGTTCAATCTGCTAAAAATAAAAACCAGTGTTGGCGGTAGGCTCCCCCATCCTCCCGAGAGAGCTTTATAAATATATGTCAAGGTATCTTTCTTTGGGTCTTGGGTTCTCTGGTAAATTAATCTCTTGAATAACTTTAAGTGTATTTATTATCAACGATCACGTGCGCTTGCCTGGAAACATGATGAATAGCAATCAACTCAGCAGAAATAATGGAGCCGGTGAAATGCTGGGGAGGTAGAATTTCTATGCTTGGAAACCACTCCCTCCTTCCCCCAACACACACACACACACACACACACACACACACACACACACACGCAGACGTACACACACACACACACACACACACACACACACACACACACACACTCACACCAGGAAGCTTAGTGTGACACTGAAGCTTCTGTCCTGGAAGGGTCCCAGGGCAGCTCTCACCGTCATGTGGCCTGGGGGGAAATCCCCTGCAGTGTCATGGGGGACAGCCTTCCTGCCCCTCCACTGTCAAACTCTAAGCACACAGCTCTGGGCAGGGAGAGCCAACCCCCCCCACCGCCCCCCGCCACAGAACCCAGTCTCTGTATAAACAGAGACTCTCCAACACCTTCCCCGAGAGCCTCTAATGGGGCCCTATCAGCGGGAGATGAAGGCGCCTGTCCTGGGCAGGGAAATACACAGCTGCCCCTGGCCCAGCCCTTTCACCCTTTCGGGGTCATCCCTGACAAAAAAGCGAACCCTGCCGAGCCTGTGTCCCAGTGTGGGGTCAGCAGAAGGGCTGAGTTGGACGCAGAGAGGGACGACGATGAGAGCAGGTGCTTAGGGCGGGGGCAAGCGTTTTTTGCAAACTGCTCTAAGAGTGTCTCTCTCTGTCCCTATTACATCTCCCAGAGCGCCCCCCTCGAGCCTGTACCTGGCAGGTCAGAGAAGAGCAGGATGCACTCGTTGAAGCCGTTGGCCAGCAGCCGGTCCCGCAGCTGCTGCAGGATGGCCACCCCGATGCAGAAGGGGAAGGACGAGTTGCCCAGCAGCAAGGTATCCCACAGGTGGAAGATCTTGTGCAGTGGGAAAACATCTGGAAGACCACAGCCGTGAACCGTCAAAACCAAAATAACATGCGACTTTGCTAAACTCTTGGGGAAGGGTATCACGGAAGGATATACCGAACTTTTAATAAAATGTTTATCTGACTTTGTCAAAAGCCTCCTAAGGGGTCTTGAAAAATGAACAGGGGAGGCTGGAGATATAGTACAGTGGGTCAGGCATTTGCCTTGCAGGTGGCTGACCCAGGTTCTATTCTCAGCATCTCAAATGGTCCCCTGAGCACTGCCAGAAATAATTCCTGAGTGCAGAGCCAGGAGTAACCCCTGAGCATCATGGACAGGGACTGGAATGGGGATTAGTGGGAGGGCAGCTGACACATGGGGGCCTGATTTGACCTTGGCAGTGTCAGACTGACCGTCCATCACAGAGCTGGGGGAGTCAATGGGCACATCCCCCAGAAACACGCCGTCAAGTACCACAGTGGGAGCCACAACACAGGTGCTGGCCTGGCACGCAGCAGACCCTGCTTCGCTCCTGGCACCAAGCAGACAGACCTGAGTGTGTCTCAGTTTAGTCCCATGGGCCCTGAGCACCAGCAGGAAGGCCTGAGACCCAGCAAATAGCTCCACACTGCTTACCTGGCTGGCAGGGCAAAGCTGGGAGGGACCCTGGGCCTTCTGCGCAGTGCTGGGGGCGCCACCTGCCACCCCTCCAAAAAAGAGGAAGAAAACCCAATACAAAAGCAAACCTTCAAAGCCTTGATAATTACTTTGGTCAAATTGGTGGCATTTTCTAACCTTCATTATGGAACTTGGAAACCCTGTGACATTTATTCTGCTTCTTCCTAGAATTTTTCAGTTACATTATTCTCATAAGTCTATTTACCAACATTTGATTTCATATGTTTTAGATTCAGTTACATTTCTATTATGCATCCTAAATAACTGATTTGGGTTGGAGCGATAGCACAGAGGGTAGGGCGTTTGCCTTGCACACGGCCCACAAGGCCGACCTGAGTTCGATTCCTCTGCCCCTCTTGGAGAGCCCGGCAAGCTACCAAGAGTATCTCGCCCGCATGGCAAAGCCTGGCAAGCTACCCGTGATGTATTCCATATGCCAAACAAAGTAACAAGTCTCATGATGGAGACGTTACTGGGCCCACTCAAGCAAATCAATGAATAACGGGAGGACATTGCTACTAAATAACTGATTCATTCATTGCATTACTAACAATGAATTCAATTAGCAATTCCCCATAATTTGTTTGGGGGAGGGGGGTGAAGACACTGATGGTACTCAGGGCCAACTCCTGGCTCTGCACTCTGAAGGGGCTCAGGGCTGACTCCTGGTTCTGGGACCATATGCAGAGCAGCAGACAGAATTAGGGTTGAGACGATGAGATGAGAGGCACATGCCTTAACCCTGACCCATCTCTCTGACCTGGCTGAGAGTCCCATGGTTACCCCTGTTGGTGTGTGAGGCCCCTTCAGCGCTGGACTCCAACCCAGGGCTCCATCTGTGCAAGGCAAATGCTCTATCACCTGGAAACTCACACCTGGCCCAATTTCCCAATGTTGTCTCTTTTTAAAACCCAACTAAGAGTGCCATGAGTATTTCTCCAGGCCAGAGCATACACTCCCCTGCAGACACTGCATTTGCAACCTAACTGACATCTGTAACTGGTTCTAGTATGACATGCTCATATAATAAACCGAATTTAAGGGAAATTCTAAATTAGGAAATAATAGAAGGATTTGTTATCATAGGATCTCTAACAAACCAGGCCTCCTTGCTTATAAAACTCACCTCTAAGAACTCCATGTCAATACTACAGGCAGCCTCAGTTTCTTTTTCATCAGACCAAAGAGATTTAATGACTGCCACAAAATGTAAGATTTTTATCTCCGTACTCTTTTTGATGTTCAGCGGTAAGAACAATTTTTCTATCCAACTCTAGTATGTCAAAATTATACAAGAATACTTGTTTCGTTCCACCTATGGAGTACTGCCGTAAATGTACTCTGCTGGGGAAGAATGGCCCTTGTCCTATTGCCGACACAATATTGAAAGCAAAAGGGGAAATGGTACTTACGAGTAAACATGGTGAGAAACCAGGGAATGGCATAGAGCTGTGAGGAAAAGAAAAGGGGCGGGGTACAGGGAGGAGACAGGAAACAACAGCGTTAGTTCAAACAGTCAACTGGGCAGTTACAACAGTCCCCTGTGCTGGTTTACCCTGCTGATTAAAATTAGGATATATTATTTAGAATGATCACAAATGCTCATTTTTTCCCGAGTGCACACGGCTGCTCTGCACGTGATCCTTGTGGCAAGTGGGACCACACAGAACCTCCTTCCCCTCACATGGGGGAGACTCCCCGGCAGTGCTGAGCACCCTGTGCAAGGACAAACTTCAGGCTATGCACAAATGTCCCTGAGAGCTTAACAGCCCTCATCACTGTTGATGAGGTTCTTTAAAAAGAACCAAAATATCTCATAAACTCAAGGTTCATATGCTTTCTGTCGCCACTTTCTAAACTAACAGACAGGGTCATAACAGATTAGAAGATGTAGAAGCAAAATAATTTGGTTCTTGAGCTATGTGATAATTTATCTTCCCGACTTTACTGTTGAGGAACGAACACATCTGCTTTCTAGACATTTCCTAAGATGCTGGGATATAACAGTCAGCTTCATTCCCGTGTGTTTGTTTCTTTTGAGTTATACCTGACAGTACTTGGGCGTTCCTGGCTTTGTGCTGAGAGGCTTCTCCGGGCAGAGCTTAGGGAGAAGGGGGTTTCAGGGACAAAACCGTCACCTCCAGCATGCAAAGCACACATTCAGTGCACTGAGCTCTCTCCAGCCCTTATTCTTAACTTCTGAAAGTTAAATTTCCTTTGTCAATAACAAGTAAAAGCCAGTAATAATTTATAGAAAAATCTCAAAAAAGTTCTAATTTTATTTTACTTTCTGAACAGGTATTCTTAAAGATTTTTGTATAAACAGAAGATTCCATTTTTTTTTAAGCATCAATCTGTTATGAGTTTCTGAGTTAACTCTTTGCAGTGAATATTTGTGTGATTAAAACACAAGTCAAGAACCAGAAGTATGGCTGTAGACAACACTAAAATCCAAGTACTGAATACAAAATAAAACCACTGTTTCCTGTGAGGTCTTCATATTAAGTGATTATAAGGGACAAAAAAAAACCTGGAAAAAATGAGGTGTACAAAGGACTGTGACTTCACAGAAGAGTAAACAATACAGAAAACTCAAGAATAGAACAAATTCCAAACTCAAGGTAAGTGTGAAAATTAAGTCAGGAGAAATTTGTTTTATCAATATTATCTAACTTTTCCTTTCTTTGGGAAAAGTCATTTATTATATTACCTCTACCCTCCTGATCAGAGACGATTATGTACCAGTAGGAATGTTAATGTAGGAAGCTGAGTTTTCTGTATACAGAGCGGGAGGGGTATATAAGGTAAGGAGTCACTTGAAAGGATTAGTGGGAAAACTTGACCACCCCATAGTCAGAAGCACTTTATCTTATTTCAGAAAGGGAAAAAAAATTCCTGCATCAGATGAAGTACTCTAAAGGGCGTTGCCTTAGGCTAGAGCAGTGCATACAACCCACTGTGCTGGCCAGGTCTTGCTTAGTGAACTTTAAAAGTCAACCTTGAAATGATCAACAATCTAAAACCACTCCACTATAATCCCAAGTGAAGCTCAAAAATATGAAAACCATCCAATACGCCTCAATAATTTAAAAATGCTATAATTGTGTGTGTGTGTGTGGGGGGGGGCAGGCGGGAGGGATGGCCCCAAATCAGAAAGAATCATTCCATCAAAATAGACACAGGATTGACACAACTGTAGCTGTAGTCAAGGACAACAAAATACTCTTTAATGTCTGAATGATATGCATCTTAAAAAAGCTAAGCGATGGCTGAGCATGCTAAGCAGAAATACAGCTCTCTCCACCCCTAAACACAAATCAAATTTGTAGAGTTAAAAAAAAAAGGACCAGGGAACCTGAAACCAAAGCAACAGAAAATATTTAAAATTAAACCCAAATCAAGGAGGGGCAGGGGACCACTACATTCTGGGTAGCAGTGAGCAACTGGAAGGGCTGAACATTTCTGTTCATGGAAATTCTGAAGGAGAGAGAAAGAAGATAAGAGAGGAAACAACACGTTTAAAGAAATAAAGCTGAATGTTTTCCAAAACTGTTCAAAATCTATAAACCAACAGAACCAAAAAAGAAAATTCAGTCACTCAAAGTAAAAGAAGCAAGAAGAAACTGACACACCAAGGCATCATATTCAAACTTCTCAAAGCTCGAAGCAAAGAGTTGACACTCAAGCCAGAGAGAAGAGGCTCATTCCTGAAAGTGTGTTTTCTCACTCAAACAATGTGGGGAAGATGACAGGGGAGCAGTATCTTTTAAGTATTTAAAAAAGCAAAACCTGTCAACTGAGAATGGATGCCCAGCAAAAAAAGGGAAAAGAAGTTCTTCAAAGACGAAGGTAAAATAAAAACTCTTCATGCAAGACACTGGAGAGTTCATTCCTCACAATCCCACTGCACGGACTAGGAAGGCAATCCCCGGGCGGAATGAAAACCAGACACATGAGAAGGCAACTTCGGATCCATGAAGAATAAAGAGACTTAGGAATCTTTAGTATGTATCACATATGAATAAACAACAAAAGGTAACTTTGTGAGAGAGCTTAAAACACATGTAGAAACACAATGTAAGACAGCAATCAGGATGCTGAAAGGGAACGAAGGCACCAGCTGGGAAGTTTTTTACTTTCTATGAAGTGGTAGAATACTTTTGGAAAGCAGATTGTGAAAAGCTGCTCAAGATTTTGGAGCACATCAGAATACCGTGTCCTCAGCCCCACTCACCTTGGACTGGCTACTGGGAGTGGACATGAGGGGCACTCTGCCTCCTGCTGCAACTCAGCTCTGCCCTCGAGAGCCCAGGGGCACGAACTCGGATTTGGTCAAAGTGTCTCTGGCAGCCACTGCCAAACCCCCAGGCCCCAGAAGAAAACAAAATAGTGCCCTAGGGGGTGTGGGATAACTTTGGTTTGTGCTTTCTCCTCTGCCACAAGGAGCTGAGGTTTACTGAATAATACCCATGACAATGCTCCTGAAACACTCCCAGTTCCTCTATACTCGTCTTTCACTTCTCTCTGCTCTGCTTCCCCAACCCGTTAATCACCATTTCCCCCTAAGCAGTACCTGTGACGAGTAAAGACAAATTCCTCAGAAATCTCTGATTTTGTATTTGTAAGTGAAATATTGCTTTTCTCCTTCCCTTATGTCTTTTTGCATAGTTTACTTCAGAGCAATGCCCTTTTTGTATAGACACAGGAAGACAGTTCATGCTATGCTTCTGTGATTTGGGAGTCAACTGACTCCGAGTAATATTTACTCCTGGACATCCGTTTACCCTACTCAAGCCTCAGTTGCCCTTAGTTCCTAGCATCCCCAAAGCAGGGGCCCGATTCGGGACTGGATGGACCCAGGGCAAGCTGTGAGCTACCCTGCCATCGAAATGAGCCAGGCCAAAAGCGGTAATACTTAACTATAAGTTAAGAGCAAGGTCCTGAACAAATTCTCTCATGATCCAAAGAATAACTACTGGATTAGGACCCTGCTAGGGTTAGGAAAGATTAATCTGGCCTGAGCACCGTGGTCTGGGACCTACAGCGAGATGTCCTTAGGAGAGTCACTCTACAAGCTTAATGTATCTCTTACTGTATCCGTAAAAAATGACTAATATTAAGAGGTAGAATTAAGATGAATGTTTAAAAGGTGACTGGACTAAGAGAACCACACCCCTAGTGGGCATTTCGCCCTTGAGTGGATCTCCTAGCTGCAGGAGACCAGAAGGAAGGGCTTTCAAATGTTGATTGTGCTACCAGACCTGGGTGTAGCTGCTTCCCCAATGCTTGGAGGTGGAGCGGGAGACCAAGGCTGCAAGTCGAGCATGGAGAGACTAGCAAGCTTAGTGAGACGAACAGGCACGTGGGGAGAATGGAATAAACGGAAACTGATCACCGGTCAGCCTGGCTCCCGTTTTATCCTCCTTTCATCCATCGCTGTCGGCTATCTGGGGTGAGGAAATAGCCTAACCACTGAACACACGTGGAGAGAGAACACACCCCCTTTTTATTTTGTGATTACACAGGGGGAAAATCAGTAAATCCAATGAATGAATGCATTAATTTTTATTTAGAAAAGAAAATTAAAGTGAAACAAAAAGGAAAAAGAAAATGAAGAACAGATGAGGCAGCTAAAATGGAAACAGGACCACAGCAGGCTTAAAGGCGACCCGCCAACCAGCCCAACATGGACTACCCTCCCCCCCCCCCCCCCCCCCCCCGCAGCATTGACAGAGCAGCCAAGGAAGCCGAGGGGCATCCCACCCTCAGGCCCTCCTTCCAGCTGGCGGTTTCCCGGAGCATTAATTTTTATTTGATTTAAAAATTAAATAGAACAACCCAGCGCCACCACCCTGCCCCTGAGACAGCTCATCTCTCCTGCTTCGTGTTCACCTCTGGCCAGTTCCTTCCTCCTGGTCCTGGACGGTCACTCCTGGACCCCTTGCTGCGACAGTGACACTCCCAGTGCTCAGGGCTCAGGTCTCTTCCTCGTACTGCCCAAATGATGTGAGGACTCCCACATTCACCCTGAATTCAAATAGCCGTGCAAAGGCCGCATGGACATCTGCATCCAGGTGTGATGGAGAGGCCATGTCCTAGGGGCTCCTGTGACTCTGCCCGGTGCCTGCCCAGAATGCTCCTCCTGTCTGCTAAGAGACACCGAGGCCTCCAGCCACCAATCCTGGTGTCATTTTGGTCCCCTTTCTCCCTCTTACCGCCTCCGGCCCCCACATTCTACTGACTCTGCCACCAATGCTATACCCAGAGTGTGAAAACTTCTCCCCACCTCTGCTGCTGGCATCGGGTCTGAGCCACCAGCAAACTCAGCCCAGTCATCTCAGGCCCGCTAGGGTCCGTTCCTGGTTCCCTTGTCCAGAAGGACATTGGGAGATGTTTAGGTCACAACACCATCCCTCTGACTGACAGTTGGGGCTTCCCAAACTGGGCTG